GTCACCATGAAAATGCGTCCGGTGGCAGGTGTATTGCCCATACTGAGTAACATGTTTTCTTGCAATATATTGCTGTCGTCGCCAGAGCGCAAACTCAATTCCATCAAATAATCCAAATTGCACCGGGGCGTAATATCGGCATCGAGAAACAAAATGCGTTGGTACTGTACCAAATCGAGGATTCGAAATTTTTCAAAGGGTACCGTCATGATTTCATTGGTAATATCGGGTGTCGAGGGTGTGTACAGGATGCGAATGCCCAATGCTTGTAGATAGCGTACATCCGTCAAAGGCAACTCGGTGTGAGCGTCGACCATATTGACGAGGAGTACAAAATCGGCGCGACTACCGGCATCCCGTAACAATTTGACACTGACGAGAATATTGTAGAGTAATCCTCGATAATCGTCCTTGTTGGGTTTCTTTGGCGCATTGCTTTTTCGCATGGTGGCAGTCCAAGATTTGGTTTGCGAAGGAATGCCTCCCAGATAAAAGGCATATGCAAATGGGGCCGTGCCATTATTATTGGAGGGGGGATACAATAGTTTTGTGGATTGTTGATTCTTCTTTTTTGTAGGCGGAGAAGAAGGTTTGCTCCAATAGTCTGAAGCAAACTTTTCTTCTGACTTTTCTGGAATAGTTTTATGGGGAGGTTGTTCCAATTCTGTCAGCAAGATTTCCTCTGGTTTCAGTAGTTGTGCTTGTGTTTGTGTTTGTGCAATATTAGGTTGCTGCCCTGGATGATGAACAAATGGATCCTTTCTTCTAGACAATAATGCTGCTGCTGCTGATGATTTGAGGAGTGTCTGATTTTTTTTCTGCCCTTCCTGAAATGTTTTGATCATTTTTTGATGGAGTTTGTGACCTTTGCCGCCCCATTTTTGCATCCAATTGTGCGTCACATCATTATTATTATTATTTTTGTCACCAGCACCAGTCTTGGTTTGATTATTCTTCTTATTTTTGTTATTTTTGTGTTGCATGGCTTGCGACCATTTTTGTTGTTGAAGACCTTGCTTTGTATTGTCATTGACTTTTTTGGAAAGAGCAAAAGGAGGAGCAATCAGAGCTTCGTCTCTTCTTTGTTTGCTATTGCTAGTAGTAGTAGTAGTAGTAGTAGTAGCAGTAATAGATGATGAAGTAGAAGAAGCCCCCCAGAAATGGACTGAAATCCAAACGGATCCTCCCACAAACATCAAACTTCCCCACAGCTTCAACAGCCAACCACCACTGCGTCGTCTCTTGTGGTATTTACTACTAGCATTACTACTAGTAATAGCGGCATTGCTACCAGCATTGCCAGATTTGGATCTGCTGCTGTTGTTGCTGCTAGAGGGAGTGCTCAGTTGCGGAGACCGTCTCATCTTGGGCTGCAAGTAAGTACTAGTACTGGCTTGTCTGGTATGATAGATGGTACTGGGAGGACGGACTATCACTCACTCAAGCAATGAAGGGAAGGATCGATGGATTGAATGATGATGTGAGGATGAGCGATCCAGAGTCCGATGACTGCACTGACCCTCCAGGAACCGCGGAACCTACCGTTACACCTTAGCAGCCATGGCATGTTGTCACAACCTCACTGGCTTCCACAAAACACCATGACAACGCCGTATACCGGTGGTACGGTAAACGCGAAAGTATTATCTCTCCCGGTACGGTACACGGGAAAGTATCTCTCCCCGTACGCCCACCACAACAGCCACCCACCACAACAGCCACCCACCACCGCAGCCACTGCTTTGCCTAGCTTCGCCCCCCCGCTCCTTAACGTATCTATTTAGTATTTGTTTTCTACTCCCAAGGAACGGTGCTACCTGGCTAGCTAGCTACAGTACTACCTATATAGCTAGACTATAGCAACAACAAGACAGTATGCCCAATCACAAATGAAACAAGTTGCATTGTAGTTACAGTTCTAAAGTTGTTTATATATAATATGATGTGCAGCAACATGGAATTCATAAATACGTAAAACTCATAAAGTGAAACCATCATGCCATAGAATTGGTAACGTCAAAAGAACCCTCAGCTCCAACAATGATGTCAATGACGATTTCAGAGAAGTCACTCTCACTGGTAAATAAGAGATCATCCGTACTGACATAGGAATACAACACCGTTTTGTTTTCTGCCATCAGAGTAATCCAACCAGGGACGTAGAAACCATCACCATAAATGTCAGACACAATCAGCCTATATCTGTTGTTGGGGCTGACCAGGAAGAGAGAGGAGTAAAGATAATTTGAAAACTCCAGTGGACCATCTGATTCCTTTGTGTACACGTCCCAAAAACTAGTCACATTGGCTTCCTTCTGCCAAATCCATGATGTTTCCTGTGGATCTTTATCAGTATGGATATTGAACATTACTGATCCAGGCATTGTTGGAAAGGGGCCTGGCCACTCTGGTGGAGTTGAATCATGGATGTCAAAAGAGCCATCAGCTCCGACCATGATGTCAACGATGGTTTCATTAAATTTCTCACCACCCATTAATGAAAACAACACTGTTTCATTGCATCCTGTTAGAGTAATCCAACCAGGGACGTTCAAACCATCACCATAACTGTCTGATACAATCAATCTGTAGGCTGTGTCAGTGTTGACCGGGAGGAGAGGGGAGTAAAGATAGTTCTTAAACTCCAGTGGACCCCCCAATTCCAGTTTCTCCCAGACACCAGTCACATGGGTTTCTTTCTGCCAAACCCATGAAGTCTCTTCTGGAAAAGCATCGGTGTAGAGATTGAACATGACTGATCCAGGCATGGTTGGAAAAGGGCCAGGCCATCCGGGTGGAGTTGAATCAGGGATGTCAAAAGAGCCATCAGTACCAACCAGGATGTCAACTGTGATTTCAGAGAACCACTCACCACTCTGCAATGAAAACAGCACTGTTTCATTGCATCCTGTTAGAGTGATCCAACCGTGGGACAAACCATCACCATCACTGTCAAATAAAATCAATCTATAGGCTGTGTCATTGTTGACCGGGATGAGAGAGGAATAAAGATAAAATTCGAACTCCAGTGGACCAACTGATTCCAGTGTGTCCCAAACACCAGTCACATTGGTTTCCTTCTGCCAAACCCATGATATTTCCTCTGAAAATTCCATTCGGTTATTGATCACGACAGCAGCACTTGTGGTTGGAAACCGCCCAGGCCAATCTGGTGGACCTTCTGTGAGGTCAGCACAGGTCGAAACAGCAGGAGTTTCATTTAGGGAACAATCACACCATAGGTTCCAACAAAGATTCCCTGGGACAGTTCCTGAGAACTGATTCCCATCTAGCCTCAATCTCAGCTGGGAAGCATTCAGTTGCATAGGCAGGGTTCCCGTCAAGATATTATTCTGAAGAGCCAAGGATGTCAGTGATGCCATGATGCCAATTTCAGTTGGGATTGTACCGGTGAACTGATTGTCATAAAGGCGAAGCTCTTGCAGCGATGTCAGGATACCAAGCTCTGTGGGAACTGGGCCAGTGAACTGGTTGTGATTCAACAACAGCAAATCCAAATCAGTAAGCGTCCAAATCTCAGAAGGCGCCCTGCCAGTTAACTGGTTATCACCAAGACTAAGCCTTTTCAATGAGGTCAGGAGCCCAAGCTCAGAAGGCAGTGGACCATCCAAGTGGTTCGTATGAAGCCAACACACGTATAATGAGGTCAGGAGCCCAAACTCAGAAGGAATTTGACCGTCAAGTGATTCCAATAAAGGAAAAACTGCCATAATGAGGTCAGGAGCCCAAGCTCAGAAGGAATTGACCGGTCAAACCATTCTCTTTGAGCGAAAGACCTTCCAATGAGATCAAGAGCCCAAGCTCAGAAGGAATTGAACTGCTCAGGTAATTCAAGTCAAGCGCAAGAAGGTCGACCAATGAGGTCAGGAGCCCAATCTCAGAAGGAATTTGACCGGTCAAAAGATTCAAAGTAAGGGTAATCCAGTCCAATGAGGTCAGTAGCCCAAGCTCAGAAGGAATTTGGCCAGTCAATGAATTCTCACTGAGATCAAGAGCTTCCAATGAGGTCAAGAGCCCAAGCTCAGAAGGAATTGGACCGGTCAACAAATTTTTAGCAAGCGAAAGCCTGTTTATCGACGTCAGGAGCCCAATCTCAGAAGGAATTTGACCGGTCAATCTGTTGGAAGACAAATCCAAATATTCCAAAGCAGTCATAATGCCTAAGTCTGCTGGCAGCAGAGATAAAATTGGTCCAGCCATGCCATTCCTCCGAAAGGTTAGATGAGACAAGGAAGTCAAGAGCGCAATCTCAGGTGGCAAAAATGGAACAAGACCATAGAGCTGCAGGGTTTGGAGATTCAGAGAACCGAAATGCCCCTGGTCATCGCATGAGGGGACATTGTTGTCAGTTTGATAGTATCTTCCACTGATAGTAAACAATCCAAATTCACTGGAGAACCAGTCACACTCTTCCACGGTGTCATCCATCCATCCATGGCCCCTTATCAATGGGTTCCATCTTTCTCCTTCGAAACCATGGTAGAACGCAGCCAGCGCAAACAATTGTGTCTTTCTCCATTCAGGCAAGTTTGTGATGTTCTGGTGATTGGCTAGCCATTGCCATGCTCTCCATTGTGGGGTTGCACTGCCATTGTTGATGCTGGCCAAAGTGTAGTCTGGGAGACTATCCAATAGCAAGTCCAGAGCTCCAGTGGGGGCAAATGATGGTAGTTCGGAAGGAGTCATGGAACCATAAACCGTAGGAGCATCTGTTGATAGGGAGACAATCACATCTGGCTCCTTCTCTTGGGTTCCTGCCACAGCTCCCACAATGACGGCTGTCACAATTAACGACATGACAAAGAAGAGAATGAACATCTGCCTCTGCTTCCTCTTCTGTTGTTCTCTCTGCTGAAGCTGTTGTAGATCGACTGGATCTGCCGATGGCCTTGTATGTTCTTCTGGATCTTCATTCACCAAGTTCGCCAGTGGTAGCTGATTGTCACCCTCCGTATCACGCAACAAGGAGCCTTGGTTTGTCACAGTACCATGGTACTGGGTCTGTTGTGCGACTTCGGACGTGGGTCATCAGTGGAAGTATCATCAATAGCCACACGAAATAAGCCATAGTCGAGAGTAAGGGTTCGTCTCATGGACTCTCCTGGGACATTGATGTATGCTCCAGGCGGCTGAACATGCTGTTGGGTCAGCGATGGACGGCCTGAAGTAGTACCAGTAGTACCGGCATTGGCTTCAATGGCAGGAATTGTGATAGGCATTTGTCCTTGCTCTGCTGTGGGTGGAATGATTCCACTTGAGTGTTGTCCAGATGATTTTGACGGAAAGAATGAAAGTCCTGGGTTGTTCAGTCGATCTTCCACAGAAGAAAGAGCAGCAAAAGTAGAACTGTCGTGGCTTGTTCCTTTGAAGCTTGGCGTTGCTGGTATTTTGCTGTCTGCTGCAATCTTTTCTCCCAGATCTCCTTTGATGTGTGACTGTTTTTCCTTTGGCAGGAACTTTAGCTGACCAGTTTGTTGAGGGTTGTTTAACCTTGCTGCGAGGTTTTCAAGCGCAGTAGAAGCAGAATCCATGTTGATCGTATCATTACTCTTGCTGTTGTCATGTTTGTTCTTGTCATCTGTTTGGACCTGGTGGCTCTCTTTGGCTGCTGGTTTTCGGTCGTCTACGTCTCTGCTGTCTATCTTTGTAGTGCCACCGGAGTGCTTAGGGGTTCCTGAGGACAATTCTGTGGAAAGAACCTTTTTCTCGATCACTTGTTGTTGACCACTATCCAATGTAGCGACGTGAGGAGACTTGGAACTAGTCAGCACAGTGGTTATGACTCGACCGCCGGCACGAGTACATGTAGTTGTGTTTGTCCGCGCGCTGTCGGGAGCCAATGGCTGTTGACCACTGTCCAAAGTTTCTGGAGGAGGGGGGCTTTCACTACCACTCCCAGTTCCGCTATCTCCTGAAGGGGCGTCGTCGAACAGCTTCACCGGAGGACTTTCGGTTTCATGGTTCATCTGAGAAGCTTCGTTGAGTGGCTTGTTGCTCATGCTTCTGTCTGAGTGATCTGAAGGCCAAAAGGTTTCAATTATCCCAACTTGCCATGGCTCGATCTGCCTTGCAGAGTCGTTTGTTGGTTTGTTGGTTTGTACCGTAGACCTCAGCGAGAGAGGATCGAACGAAGACAACAATGAGAGGAGACCCAGGTTCAGAAGGGTCCAAGTTTGCAGGGAATATTTGTTGGCGACGGCAGGATTCATAACACTCTGAGACTTGGATTGCAATACTTAGGCACTCGAGTCCCAGAAGAATTTTTGTCAACGCTGACCATCATACGTGTGGCTATACCTGCTCAGAGAGGTGCGCGGTGCCTCAACTCAACGCCGAAAGATTGATCGCTCTATGTTCCACATCTGTGCATGTCCTTTCATCACACTCCGGCAACAGTTTTTTCTTTCTTCTTTTTCGGCAGCAAGCCCAGAGGAAGACTGTTTTGGATACTGTACCGTATTTACCGCAACTGTCTCGGATGTCTTCCGTATACTGTACGACGACGTATGCCGGTACGGTTGCGCACAGTGCTCGAGTGACCGAGTCGAGTCTTCGTATTCCCGACAAGAGAGCAATTGGATATCGAGATCGTTGCAAACCACCTATCGTACATGTATGGTCTTTGACGTATCGAAGAGCTCGGAGAAAAGGACTGCTGAGGGATCCGAGGGAGCATGGATTTGTCTTCAGCAGCAGACCGGATCGCCTCTGGTAACGATGTTCTACTGTAGGTCTCGCTTTTTCCTCCTTCGTGGTCCACACCACCAGTCCACAATTCTGAGTGGGGAAGGGGGTCTAGCTAAAGTGATACAAGACTCCTGGCTTCGGAAGCCCGCGAGCTGCACGTGTGAGAGAAGTCAGCGAAAGGAAAACTGTGTCTCCAGGTGGAAGTTGTGGCCAGAGCTATTTGTGATGCTCTGGCTGACAACTACAACATCCTTCTAGCGACAAGGGACCGCGGGGAGGCCGCATTGAAATTTTGCGGGAAAGGGATGAAACGAAGGTTTGGCTGCCAAAGTTTCCCATTCACTCGCCAGAGTGGCTCCTATCTATCTAGACTTTCCAGAGAGCATGATGGAAGCTTCAATGAACCGATTTACAGTCCTGATCACCAGACTGGCACGTGTCCAGAGCATGCTCACCGGATATCAACCTCCACGTTTCCCTTGTGAAGTGTGAACAATGCCAGCAGAGGAAGGAGAGATTCAATCTGCCTACTTTTCGTTTTGGGGGGGACAATAAGGAGAGATTGTATCCAGAACCCACTGCATGATCGAGCTTGGCTGTGCAGGATCAATCCCTTTGCTATCGTGGCTCGGTTGCTTGCTGCTCAAATGAACAACGCTTCGTTGGGCCTGAAAAATGACATACTTTCTTTGAAAAGTAAAAATCGGTTTCTAAACACCAAACAATGACTGTGTGGTCTATCTATAGCTACAATGCAAACGCGAGTATGGGCCGACACGGAGACCACGTCGAATAGTCGAAGGATAGATAGATGCTGCAAGGCATGACCATAAACTACTATACGGCTGGTGATTACCAAGCCAAACTCTTCATCCATCGGAACAATCACACGAACAGCCACAAAGCTCTGTACTTGTAGTAGCACAATCAAAGTGCAGAGAGCAATTGGTGTTGTAATAGTGCCCGTACCGACAGGATGGATTCTGCAGATAGCACAAGTCTTCTGGAATGGTCCCTGTAATTCCTCCACTGCCCCGCAAATCCACCGCCCCCAAGCGTTCCAGCGCCAACTCGGATAATTCCATGGGTAGGGTTCCCACCAAAAAGGGCAACTGGGCCAAATCCAATCGTAATATCCAGGTCGGTACAGAGTGCCAATTCCGTGGGAATGGTTCCTGTAAAAAGGTTGCTGGGACCATCGCTGTCCTCCAGGCCATCCCCCAGAATGAGTCGTTCCAGGGCATTCATGAGACCGAGCGCGGGCGGCAGGGATCCCGAGAGCTGATTCCGGTCCAACACCAACACTGTCAAATTCGTCGTCAAGAGTCCCAGCTCTTCCGGCAGTGTCCCCGTCAATTGATTGCCATTCAAAGCAACGCCTTGTCGGTCAAGAGACCCAACTCGGTCGGAATTTGTCCCGAGAGTTGATTGTAGCTCGATCAGTTGCAACCACGACAGTTCGTCGCAACGTCCAACTTCGCTCGGAATGGGACCACTGAGTTGATTGTTTACCAAATCCAGTGTTGTTGTCCATACTTGGAACATGCTGGTTGGGATGCGACCCGTTGCAAGTTGGATAGAAGTGCCAGTTCGGGTGGAATGGTCATTTTATCATTGTCGTCCATGGAGCCAAAGGTATCCTGGATCCAGCGATGTGATTTGTCCCAGTTCATTGAAATACTCATTGTACCGGTTTTCTTCTTCTTGCTCCTCCTCCACATAATCGAAATAATAACTACTCGACTGCCACAGACATTCGTGGACGGCATCATTCAACCAATGTTTCCGACCCCATTCATTCATCCCATTTGGGTCCTTGCAGTGCATAGTATTATAGACTGTGGCCATGGCAAATATATATGTAGTTGGGTCTTGCGCCATTCGGGAAGAAGTGTCAAGTTTTCGCGATGCACCAACCAGCCCCATGCTTTGGACGGAGGAGAACCACAATCTTGTAGACTCGTCACAACGGTATAGTGGGGTAGAGTCGACGAATTCAGCAGCACCGCCGCCAAGTCGGGAGCATTGGCGGGATTGCGGGAAGCGCAGTTGCGATTCTGGACGGCCACAACAATGCCTACCACTACTACTAGTACTAGTAGTAGGAGACACACCACTACCACAATCGCCACACCGATCATCACCGTGCGCTTGTTGCGTTTGGTTGGTTCTTCTGAGGCTTCTTCTTCTTCTTCTGGTGATGGATGAATATTATTATGTTCATGGCTGTCTATTGACGCGTCATCGTTGGGTTGTTCCGGTTTTATGTCCGTGTCGGTGCCAGTGAGGCTGGCCTCGTTATTGTTGCTGCTGTCTTCCTCCACCTTACTAGCTGTAGCGGCACGGTGGACAAGTCGTACTCAGAGTAGCCTTTTAAAAAATAGAATTCTATTACTTTCAGTCAAGTCAATCCGAGCACCGCCATAATAGCAGAACAGAGAGCCATCCTCATCATTGATTGAAATCATACAGTACCGTAGCTCCAAAGGGAGCCTACGACAGTCAAGCCAAGAAAGGAGAGTGCTCGAGCACTGTGTTGAAAGAAATAATGTTGAAATCCAAGCATGCTTGAGTGTTCTAACAAACCAAAGGAGAAGGTGGAGAATAGAGAGATAGCGAGACTTAATCAAATGACCACAAGAACCATGAATGTCTTTCCAAAACTGCATGGATGGGGTCCTTGTGCGATAAGGGCTTTCGTGGCCAGCTGTCGATGGAATGGTTCCATTCTATTCGATGACTCGACTCGATTGACCACCAAACGAACACGGGGGTTTACAGTAGGGAAATTATCTGTGGAAGCCAGACCATTCTATCAAGCTGCACAAGCAGCTATTGGAGGCCGTAGAAGGTGGTATCTCTTCCACACACACGAAAGTGGAACACAGAGGGTATACTTGCTTACAATTACTTTGCTTCTTCTACCTTCAAGCTCTACTATAGCAAGTAACTACTCAGCTGAAGACAACCATGCTGTCAACCTTGATGATGCGGATATTAACAATAGAGTTCCTGTCCCTTGTGGCGTTGGCAACCTCCACTGCCGATGCCGCCGGTAGTGCCGGTAGTACTAGCAGCGGCACTACAACATTTCAAACTCAGTTGATATTCACACACCGACTGGACCTTTCTGCAGAAGTCTACGAGCAAGAGCTGCCAGTCAACAAGCAAGCCATGAAGGAGTTGATTCCAGAACAAGATATTGCCCAAATGGAATCCCTCCTCTTGGATACCCTCAACCAACCACCGCAGCAAGGGGTAGAGACAACAGACGCCTCAGAGCCGGCACAAATGACACAAATAACCGCCGTCCATGCGGAATCCCAGGGCTTCCTCCTCCTTAGAAAACTTCCACGAAACAGCAATAACAACAACAACCCTGAGGTCATACAGGTCGAGGTGGAAATTACCTACACCATTCATGGTCTCTGCCAAGGCCCTGACTGTACTGCTGTGGAGGAAAAGCACGAAGCTCAAGATATTATCACGGGAGTTTTGCCATCAGGAAGGCGACTCCGAGGTCAGGGACAACAACCACAACAACTAAAAGAAGATGAACAACAAAAAGAAGAAGAAGAAGAGCCAATGACCAGAAGTGGATATCATCCGAGCCTGCAAGACGCGTTTCTACAGAGGGCACGGTCTCGAATACTCACGAAACAACCACACAGCCACCATGATACTGATAATTACTTCTCCGTCAAAACAAAGGGTTCCATATGGGAGGACCTCCTGCAAGGCATTCAATCCATCCGGCAATCACCACCCAAGAGCAGCCACCGAGATCTGCAGAATGACGAGGTTTTGATTGACATTGTCGAAGTGGTTTGTGACCCACTGGTCCAGTTACTGGAAACTTCCATCAGCATTGATCTCCCAGGAGATTGGAGGCATTTGATAAATCATCACAACAGCCACAACAACAGGACCATTACAATTGCCAATGAGACCATGACGGTGGTGGCTGCCCTCAATACGACGTTTGTGGAAACCTACAATGCTCTCGTATTTCCACTTTGCGACTGGCCTCATTTTAGAAAAGTCTCGGGAGCGCAAGCCAGTACTGCCACCATATTTGATCCCTTTGGAAATACCACCATAGTGGCCTTTGAAGTGCTGGCAGAGTGCCGGAATTGTGGCCCTTACACTACACTTTTCCAATCGAGTAATGATAACACGAATGGTTCTTCTGTGTTCCTACCAACAACAAGCACCTCAACAGGTCAAACAGCAAAATCTGGTGTGGTTCTCCGACAAGGGTTGGGATTGACAGATGACGGCTGTCTCTGTCCCAGACTCGATGATACTACAGTGTTCCGGGCTCCCACATTGGAGGAATTCATAGCCTCTTTTCTATCAGAACTGGCTAAGATCGAGCTTCCACCACAAAAGGAGGATTTCACAGAACTAAAAGATGTTTCATGTTCCTCGGATGTGCGGGAGTTTACTTCCTATGTTTTTTTGGACTTTACGATGAATAGCAGCAGTAATTTCCAAACTATTCCGGAGCAAGATCAGAATGTTTTGGAGCAGAGTTTTACAAGTCTGTACAACCAGCTCTCCTTCCATTCCTGTGATCCTTTCTTTCGCAATGTGTTGGCAGCAAAACTGGAACTCAATGCTGATGCTGTTCTTGTTCGACGGCAGCTCCAAGCACAGAAGAATCTCGATCTGTTTTTTGCCAACAGGACCGCTGAGAATGGCACCAACGCTACCCAAACCCAAACAGAAACACCAATTGCCCACAATCTCAATGAAACAACGCCAGAAATGGTTGCCAGAGCCACAACTGGAGCTGTCTTTGAAGTCACTGGTCGCTGCCGTGGTTGTCCTGTCAGTGATGTTGGAAGCTTTGAGCTGTTTGATGACATTTTTCGTCGTCACAGATCCCTCATGTTTGACAGTCAGCACGGATCTCACACCTTGGCAACACTGCAGCGAAACTTGCAGGGCAACACTTTGTTGTGTGTCTGCCCTGCTGACGGCAACCAAATTGATGAGTTCTCAAAGGAGGATTTCTTGGACTATTTCAATGCGGATGTTGTCCAATATCAGGAGGATGGAGTGCTGCAGGCAGTCACTGGTATCGAGAAGCTCCAAGAGGGTCAAGGTGTCGATTGTGTGGGAGAGATAAGGACATTTACCACAACTGTCTTTGTTGATATCAGTGTCAATCTTGAGGAGATTGGGGAACAAGAGAAAGCTCTTTTGGAGAACACATTCCGTACCAGCTACAATGGGCTGGCCTTCTCTGTTTGTGACTCTTACTTCCGTACTGTTGTGGGTGCAAGCCTGGAGGAGCAAGATGTCACCTCCTGGTATGATGGGAGACGCCTTCAGGAAATGCCACTTAATTCCTCCTTCCCTTTGAATGAGTCAAGTTCTGCTTGGGCCACAAATGCAAACACCACTAGCAACCAGTCTATATGGCAAGCCAGGAACCGGGAGGCCACTACAGTTTTCTCGGTCACCGGCCAATGCAGGGGCTGCCCGGTTACAGACAACAGTCAATTTGCACTTTTTGATGACACCTTCAGAAGGAAGCTTCAAAAGGCCAAAAAAGATTTGACGCTGGAGCCAGGTCGTTTCCTTCAAGATGGTACCAGTCGTGGGACATGCATTTGCCCAGCAGGTGTCGTTCCTGGGGAAGGCGGACCTGTGACTGCAGCAGACTTTCAGGTTGTCTTTAACGATCAAGTTGAGAAGGAGAAACTGGATGTTTTTTTGGAAGCTGTCAATGTCACAGTGGACAAAGTGATGGAAGGGCAGCAGGTAGACTGCAGTGTTGATGAATCAGAGTTCACTTCCTATGTTTATGTTGACTTCCAATTGAACCGCAGCGGTGACTTCCAGTCAGTTTCTGATCAAGATCAAATCATGTTGGAGAAGAGCTTCATGGAGCTCTATAACCAACTCTCCTTTTGGTCCTGTGACCCATACTTCAGAAATGTGCAGGAGGCAAGGCTAGAAGTAAACATTGACACAGCCCTTGTTCGGCGGCGGCTTCAACAACAGTGGGTTCCCGATGACAAATCTATTAATGCCTCCAACAATACACATTATCAGGCTGCGAACAATGATCTCAATGAGACTGCAGTACGAGGGGCAACAGCAGGGTCTGTTTTTATGGTGACTGGTCGTTGCCGAGGTTGTCCAGTCAGCGACGTTGGAAGCTTCAACCTGTTTGATGATGCCTTCAGGCGGAGATTCCTCCTGCACGACAACAAACAGGATAGACTCCCCTTGGAGGCACTGCAGCGGAGTCTGGTAGGCAACTCTTCTTCCTGTGTCTGCCCTAGTGAGGGGATCCGCATTGATGGTTTCTCCAATGACGACTTCCTTGACTACTTCAACAGCTTGATTGTCCAGCTGCAGGAGGGTGGTAACCTGGAGACAGTCACAGGTGTCGAGAAGATCCAAGAAGGACAAGATGTGGATTGTGCGGGAGAGATAAGGACCTTTACCACAACTGTCTTTGTTGATGTCACTGCAAGTCTTGATGAGATTGGAGAAGATGAGAAGCTTCTTTTGGAGGACACTTTCAAATCTACGTACAATGGGCTGACCTTCTCTGTTTGTGATTCCTACTTTCGAACTGTCGCTGACGCCAGTTTAGAGGAACAAGATGTCACATCCTGGTACAATGGCAGACACCTCCAGGAAATGCCGTTCAATTCCACCCTTCCTTTGAACGAGTCAATTTCCGCCGCCGCCAACATCACTTCAACTGCAAACTCAAGCCAGTCTACATGGCAAGTCAGGAACCGGGAGGCCACTAAAGTGTTCTTTGTCACTGGCCAATGCAGGGGCTGCCCGGTTACAGACACAGGTCATTTCACATTGTTTGATGACGCCTTTCGAAGACGGTTGCAACAGGCAACCACCAATAGCTTGCCTGTGCAAGGTCGCC